CGCCATCATATGACTCATTGGGCCCGGCATGAACATGTGCCCCGTTAATGCACTGCAAAGTACCTTCATTCAGCAAATTAAGTTACGACTTGATCAATCAGAAATATGCATACGTGAACGAAACAAATGCCCTATTTGTTCTCAATATTGCAGAACACAGTGACAGCTAAATTGATAACTCAGTAATTTGCGACAATGAATAACGAGGATTAAAAGCTCTCAACTGTAAGCTTACAACTGTAAATCCATTAAATATTGTAGATCGCTTTCATCTTTTGATTCCTTATAACTAAAGAAATAGTGACGCAAAAACTAACGCAGGATTTGTGAAGGCCGGATGACCCATGCCGGCCGCGTATGGATTTCCTGGGAACATCGCTTGTGCAGGATAACCAGCCGCAGCTGCCAACTGTCCATTGTCGGGACTGTAATTATGCGTCACGCCAAGAAGGTCTGGTGATGGACCGGGACTCTGTCCACTGCTCTTTCTCCTTCGATTCTTGAAAACATTTACGCCGTTTGGTCGACCCGCTCGATTGCTCTGATCGATCATCGGCTGTACGATTCGCCTCCGAGCATTTATGAACCTGCAAGTGTACAGTCTCATGTAATGCTTCTAAATTCAATACTGATTCTAAATGCATTTCATCATATCAACAGTCCATAGCATAGCAACACTCCTTTCAAATCGTCTCTTCTGCTTAACTTTATACTGTTTGAATCGTGAATCAACGCATTAAATACCTTCATCTATTGAACAATGATAAATTCTTCAGTCTCTATTAATATTTCAATTGATTCTATTAAATTCTTCACTTCATAATCAATCACTCTGTTCTTAATAAATTTTCAAGGCATTTCAAGGCGTTCTGCTCATTTTGTTTTTCTCAACTTTTGATATCGTTGTCTTACTGTGAAACACATTTGATAAGAATGTTGATGAAGGTCACTTTGCAGTACACTGGATGATTTCCGAACAGAATATAATGAGCGGCGAACAGATCTCCGTATGCCAGATACGTTGCACAATCAACACAGTCATAACTACAACTATCTATGGCACATTTACCTACGTTTTGTCGAGCTTCACACGTTGGTCGTATAAAAGTGATAAAATCAGTTGCGAGAAATCGTTAAAGCATCATTTCAGTGCTATTTCGTGCAATAATCCAACTGATTTTGATATATCATCAAACTAAAGAGCTATTTAATACAGCAATAACAATATAATAGCATTAGCGAAACCGAATACGATGAAATTCGTAAACCGGTTTCGAAACGATAATAGATGTTCATTTCAGAGGAATTTCCATGTTTACGATATCTAATCTAATGTCACTCACGCACGTCATTATTACTCAACTTTATGATCTGCTTTATGATCATTCGATTACAATTTAATACGCTTCGTTATAGAAATGTTTACTTTATTACATTCACGACTCATTAACCGTATTATGATTGCTCTATTTATTACCAATAAAAGCGAAGCAGTTAATTTTGGAATTCCTTGTGCAGATATGAGGTTACTCTCAATTCATATAGTATAAGTTACACGCTGAAACGGAACTGTAGCATGAAATCAAGCATCTTCCGAACCGCAACAGTGCGAATGAATAAGTCAATTAACCGATTTCGTGGAGATTTGGAACAGATCCTGAGATCGTGCTTATTTGAAAGTATAGCAAGTACTTTTCCAAAACAGAGTTATAATTGAACCGGTCCCTAGTTTATTACTGTGGCGAAAAACATCATCGATTTGAAAATAACGCACTTGATTGGAAAACAATCACTATTTCGGTCGATTCTATTGGACGAACATAATTACGGGTTACGATAACTCCTTATTCGACTGTGCTCGTTAAGCGGAAATGTGCTAAGCGAATCATCGGTATCGTCACAGTAATGATGGCAACCAACAACTTTTTACTTCCTCTCATTCTATCGCACTTCAGATTGGATAATAGATACAAGCCGGATCATAGCCTGGCTCAGGCTCACAACATTAATGATATTGGTACACCATTCGGTTTCAAGCAAAACTTTCCTACGCAAACGGGAAGGAGGAAAGTTTTGCTTGAAACCGAGTGCTGTACCAATAGCACTTCAGATTGTTGTAAGATTCTTATAAATCGTTTTCGTCCCATATTATTTTTGCTATTACTGCTAATATTATTAATAACAGTACTACTATATGCACTCTGTAATCATGAGGTTGATACAAACGATTGTAGATTTTCATGTGCTGCATCACTTACTTAAACATATTAGTGACCATTTGTTGGAATAGAAGTTCACGATCTTATGGAAATCAATAGAGCTGCATGATCAGTTACAGTGATTGAGATTCAATGATTTGATCAAAAATAACTTCTCTGATTGGTAGATCACTATTAGTAAGCAATGAGCTCTTATCAGCTATATGCTTGCCATCGGATTACAGGGATTTTAATGATAATACTCGTATTGAATGAGAAAGGCTCGACAAACGAAGGAATTAGTGATGTGAAGTGTTTGGTTGAGATTATTATGAATAGATGAATCTTCAAGTGCTGAAGTGTAAAAAAGATGAAGAGATGTTATGATTACAGTGTAACAATGTATTGTCGATGATTAATATTGCTCACAGAACAATGGCATTTAGATGGATGCCTTGTTTCAATCAGTAATATGATGGAAATGTGAATTTGCTCAAGGCAACTCCAAACACCATTACACCAAATGCTTTGTCTTGGCTCAACAACGAGATCCAGAACATCATTTTCACACAAACTGATCAATACGTTTGTTGTTGTCAATCCTCCGCACAATCCGTTTAACGCATCCAGAAAGTCATCACTCAACCTGAGTTCTCAATTAGCAACTTCTAATAAATTTCCCTCCATCCACATCCATGTGTACTTATTAGTTACGTCTTATTTGTTGAATTTACCATTCACTAATGACTGATGAGAGTTATGTGTGCTAATGGGTGGTATTCTGTTGTTAAGCTTACCATATCTCTACTTCATCCCTTACACATTCACATCTATCTCTATCCACAGAGCACACCTCATAGTTGTCGGATTTGAATTCGAGTCGTGCTGAACTGAGCAGTTGCTTTCGTCTGTTCCATCACAATAATGCAACAGTTTCTAACGGATCTAGCGGATATATACGAGCGCACCTAACGCTTCTGCTACACATTAAGTATCATATGCTGTTTGACTTACAAACTGATCAATTCATCTGCGATCGATCAGTCGCAAGTAAAATTTTTTGAAAAATGTGCCTTATCAAAATCAAATGAAATCTTGAATTTGAATTGCTAAAGTATTATATCCCAGCTGACGCACATGATGATAGGTTTCAGTTCATTTATGAGGCAGTGCCTGATTGATTCACAATAAGCTGCATGTTAATCGAGTGGCTATGGTTGCTGGATAGTACGGCTTGATTTGAGCACATTCCAGTCGCGTCAACGATCAGCTGTGTAGAGAGCTAGCAAGAATTTTGTGGATGGAGCCGGAAAAAAAGCATTCTAACGATGACGATGTAGACATTGGCATAACAGCGGCGATGCAACGATGAGATGAGATTGCATCGCAGAACTAGTAGCAATAAATTTGAACGTGAAGATTTATTGATACACTTAATCAACCGTTGGCTACCGCCAACTGGTAACAACACACTTTACGGGCCTGCTGATTATTGGCTTGTGCTCCGATACTCATTTAAATGTGATCTGCCGCGTTTCATTTGAAAACATTAGAGAGTGTAAGTCGGATGTACACTAAATGCATTTGCAGAAGCAAAACATTTTAAATTCGAAATTCCTTTCACTGTGCAAAAACCTATCCGGTGACTATGCAGCAGCAAAACAATCGAAACAAATGATGATATTCGAGAGCCGCAGTAACTTTGCATTTGAATATTCATTTACTCGTCACATTCACATCAAATTCTTGTAAGGAATCTGTTTTTTGGAAACTGAATCAAAAATATTGGTAGTGAATGCATTTTAATGAGTTGAATCTTTTCGTGTCATTTATGTCATGTCTAAGATTGATTGATTTGCTGTTCCACAAGAGCTGAGTTCATGATCGAAAAATCAAAAATCAAACAATCAGCAGCCATATCACATCAAAGATGTTCAGATTCCATGTCATCACATTTACACATCCATCATTATAGCGGAAATTGGGTGTCTTTGTGCGCATTGCAATCAGAAAAACTGTCGCGAAACAGTCCTGCAATGCCTCGGAACCGACTAGCACTTAAAGCATTCATTCATTCATTCCATCGAAAAAGCTACAGATCGTCGATCAACCAGTTAATATATCAACGATGCATCAG